TCCTTAATTAACTTGACATCTACAAAGTGTACCAATTTGAATATCGAAACTACATTAAGTTTCTAATACCCAACTAAACTTTGTTTTACATGAATGTTCACTTACCTGTTTATGATATGTCACTAAAAACTCTATTTTAAGTGTTATATGAAATATTTTTTCTTTAAAAATTTAAGAAAATAACTTGACTTCTGAAAGAAATTATGATATATGAAAAGATGATCATATTTTTTATATAACATAATAAATATTATTATTGCTATTAGTAAATAGTAAATAGTTTGAGTTTTACATTATTATATTTTCATATTTGTGGAATTTACATAATAAAAATAGGGCAAATGGCAAATAGCTCCATCACAAGAACACTTAATTAAAAAGGAGAAATCCAACTTTTCTGTCTTCCAAATAAATCCACATCATTGAAACTTATTTGCAAATAAGAAAAATTCTTTTATAAACCAAAATTACCCCCAACTACTTGAAACTCAACTTCAACTCCAATTTCATGATTTCCACCCCAATTTAGCCCAATTTCACCAATTAACCAATTTTGACCGCCACCTCCGGAGACCGCCGGTTATCCCCCGTTGACCGTCGGTCTCCGACGTTGGCAATTGCTTTCTTTTTTTTTTTTGAAACTTTTTTTTTCTTAATTTTTTTTCCTGCAGGTCAATAGGCGTTGACTTAAAAAAAAAAAACTATTTTTCCTTAAAAAAAATATTTTAATTAATATTATTGTCTTGGCCTACTATATATATTACTGTCTCCGACAATAATAATATTGTCGAAGACCGTAATTTAACTGTATGAGTCAGTACTTGAACTGTTTAAGACAATAATATTATTGTCTGAGATAGTTTTTTACTGGATTAATTAATTTTATCGTCTTGGCCTGCAATTTTGCTGTCTTTGATCGTAATATTATTGTCTTCAACCTTAATATTACTGACTCATGCAATAATATTATTGTTTAATACTAGTAATATTGATGTTCGGGAAAGTAATTACCATAATATTAGTGTTCGGGACAGTAATATTACTGCTTGGGATAGTAATATTACTGTTTGAGACAGTAATAATTAGTAATATTAATGTTTTGGCATTCAATATTACTATATATCTCACACAATAATTTTGATGTTAACACAATAATTTAGAGAGAAAAAAATTCAAAACATAAAAAAGTCAATGCCGGAGACCGGCGGTCAACCACGGTTGACCGGCCGAAAAAATAATTACGATAACCAAAAAGAAAATAACTTTTAACATATTTTGTAGTATACTGACAAGTCCTTGAAATTAAAATTAAGGCTACTTACAGATTATACTCCTAAAGTATGTGGATGGTAACACTTGTCCCTAAAGTAAGACAAGTAACACATGCCCTCTATATTAATGAAAATAACCGCAATATATTATATTTGCTCATGTTGCACTTAAATTTTAATCCATTCGTAGTTATTGTGTTTTTTCTTCCCATTACACCCCTTCAACCAGTATTTAAATTTCAAGGGATAATATACAACATTTTTTTTCTTCACAGAGTCTACTAAAATCTCAATTTACCACATAAAAATAATAATTAGGGGTCATTTCAAATAAGTCCATCAATGAGTACTTATTCATAAAGAGATCCAGACAAAAAACTCTTTTACCAATAAGTCCACACATGGTCCAGATTTTTGTAAAAGACTAAAATAGCCCATCAAACTTGAATATGTTGCATCCTTAACTTGATTTGACCTCAATTTGATCCCAAAATTCACAAATTATTCAATTTTGACCCAAAACTTTTTTTTTTCAAAAAAAAAAAAATTCAAAAATTTTTTATTGCCGCCGGATTCCGGTGGTCAACGCCCGTCTCTGGGTTGAATTTTCAATTTTTTTTTCTTCCGTATTTTTTCGCCGGTTTCCGGCGTTGACTTTTTCGATTTTTTTTTCTTCCTCTTCATGTAACATTTTTTTTCTTCGTTTAAACAACAATATTGTTGTGATTGACACTAATATTAACTATATTACTGTTAAACACAGTAAAATTAACTAAACTACAGTTTAACACAATAATATTGCTATATTAATCTTTAGCACAGTAATATTAACACAACAAAATTCATTATTATTGTGTCATAAAGTAATATTACTAAGTTGACCGTTTAAAAAATGTAAACATAATAAAAAGCCAAGAGAATTAATATTACTGCGAGTGACAGTAATATTAATATAACAACAGTAATATTACCGTCAACCACAGTAATATTACAATAATAGACAGTAATATTATTACGTTACTCCGTGAATAACTCAAACAAACAAAAAAATCTAAACAAAATAATAATATTGATAGTGGTGACAACAATATTACTATAACAACAGTAATATTACCATCAACCACAGTAATATTATTGTGTTTACAGTAATATTACAATAATAGACAGTAATATTATTACGTTACTCCGTGAATAACTCAAACAAAACAAAAAACCAAAAAAAATAATAATATTGATGTTCTTGACAGTAATATTACTGCGTTTACACTTATTTTATAGTCAACGACAGTAATATAATTACGTTGACTTGTCAACAGACCAAACAAAATAAAAAAAAATAACAAAAAATAAAAAAAATAATAATATTACGTTAATTTACTCTCAACGGCAGAACAATTACATAAATGTATTGTCAACGACAGTACAATTACGTTAATTAACTGTTAGTGACAGTATAATTACGTTAATTTACTGTCAGTGACAGCACAAGAACGGTCAACGTTTAGCGGCGGGCGTAAAAAATATAACAAACAAGCAAAACCAAAAAAAACTTAAAAAAACACTAAAAAAAATCAACGCCGGAGACCGCCGGTCAACGCCAGAAACCGGCGAAAAAATTCGGAAGCAAAAAAAAAGAAGTCAACGCCGGAGACCGGAGAAAAAATCCGGAAGAAAAAAAATAAAAAAAATCAAAAATTCAACGCCGGAATCCTACGGCAAAAAAAAAAGTTTTTGAAAAACAAAGAGTCAAAATTGGATTTTTGTGGTCAAAATTTGATTTTGTGGACAAAATTGATTAAATTGGGGTTACAATTAAGAATTGGGTATAAAGGGTTGGGGGTAATATTGACATACATGAATATTTCCTTTATTTATGATAAATATTAAAGGGATTAGTCCCTAAACCTAGAATAATAAAAATGTTTGGTTGGGGACATATGCACAATAACCCCTAATAATTAATACATGACTCTAATATGTTTCTCTTTACTATTAGTTAATAATATATGTAATAGTTGTTCAAATTCAGAATAAAAACTTCTTTAAAAAACTTTGAAATACTAACATGAGGATTTTTTTGTGGAAATATTAATGATTAAAATTATTTATTCAGTAGTTTTTTTTTAATTAATATCAGTTAATTGACCATATTAGTTATAATGACAATCATTATGTGTCTAAATTTTTAGGTTTGAATTCATAAGTTTATATCTAAAAATTGAAATTTGAGTTGCATCAAAACAAATATATTGGAATGTGAATAACTATTTTTCTTTTATTTAATTAACTAACTTGAGTTTTTTGTATTCATAATTTCACTTAAAATTATGTGGATGATTTTAAAAATAGAAAGTTATGGTATTGTGCTTTCTATTAATTTAATAAATTGGTTGGATTTCCTTTTTTTTTTTTTTTTTTCCCTCTTTTCAACTATTTTGTGAAACAGTAAGAGAGTAACCAAAGGGTAATTTTGTTATTTGCATATAATATTGACAAAAGTTAAAATTATTAACTGATGGAAAAGCTATAGGTGGCAAGTATTACTTTTCACCACTCATATACTAGTGTAATTTGTAACATACATTATCATTTATTAACTTATTATGTTTTTTTACATAATTAACTGTGGTTAAATCATATTATCACTTATACTAATAAAATGCATAAATAATAATAGTAAAAAATTTAAGAATTATTTAACCTCGATATTTCAAAATCAATCTTAGTCATTTATAATTATTTCATCTTATTTCTAGACATATTTCTTATATATTAGTTATCAATATTTATTTTTAATTTTATTTTATTATTTTTGAATAATCCTAATTAATCTGATATTGTTCACTTACATGTTTATGGTATGTCGCTGAAAAACTATATTATGAGTTTTGTACGAATAAATTTTATTTCAGAATTTAAGAAAGTAAACTTCGACTTTCAAAATAAATTATAATATATGGAAAGATTATCACACTTTTAATATATTATGATATAAATTAATTAGTTTGAGTTTACATTATTACATTTTCATATTTGTGGAATCTACGTGATAAAAATTATATGAGTACTAATTTGAAATTTGGGACTACTTCTGGTATCTAATGCTTAACTTAAAATGGAAGGATTTATTTTAAAATAATCATTGTAAAGATTTTCAAATGTAGTATTATACAAATAAAAATACATCAAAAATTTCAATATGTAGAAAAAATTACAAGAAAAAAAAATAAACTCTCACCTTAATATAAATATAGCGCCTGAAAAGACATTTGATTTTTGAACTACATTATTACTCTGTGTTAATTTTCTATTTTCATTTTTGTTATCATACAATTGACCCTAACTAATTTAAGTGGTGTAAACTTTGTTATCAGGGGCATAATATGATGCACAAAAATGTTAAGAAACAAAAAATCAGATTTAACTAGAAAATTGTTAAGTATACTAGGAACGGTTTAACTATATTTGAAAAATTCACAAATCGACTACCTAATATCTAGCATCCTTAGGCTTCATTTGGTTCCCATAATATGGCCATTTTTATAGTTGAATCTGGAAGGATATAGTACCCCATTCCCGAACAAACCAAATACTTGCAAAATATCTAGGTCTTTTGGGCCGATCAAAAATCAAATAAGGTCCTACTATTTGATTATTTATAACATATTTTCCAAACCAAAAGAGGTTTTAGAATATTTTGATATCTACGAATTATTTGTATTAAGAATATATCCAAAGGTAAATACTACTAGAAACTAGGAAGATTAGCGAAGTCTAAGTGATGTCGTATGAGTTCTAACTGCTTCATTAATTGTTAATTTTGAATTGATATATAGATTATAGAATATAAAAAAATGTGAATTTTCAGGTATTGCTTTTGGTTTTTTGATTGTGATGATTGGCATTACATGGATATACTTCACCATAAAGAAGAGGAAACTCATCAGAGTAAGAAAGAGATTCTTCGAGCAAAATGGTGGTTTGTTATTGAAGCAGCAACTTTCTTCTAATAAGGGTAGTATGGAATCAGCCAATATATTTTCTGCCGAAGAGCTTGAGAAGGCCACCAACAATTATTCTGAGGATCGTATTCTTGGCCGAGGGGGGTATGGAACAGTTTACAAAGGGATTCTGAGAGATAAACGTATTGTTGCAATAAAGAAATCAAGAATAATGGATGAGGGTGAAGTAGAGTTATTCATAAACGAGGTGGTCATTCTAACTCAGATTAACCACAGAAATATCGTCAAACTAATGGGATGTTGTTTGGAAACTGAAGTACCATTGTTAGTGTATGAATATATCGCAAACAATACATTATATTACCATATCCACAACAGCGGAGAAATGCCATTTTTTTCTTGGGATAATCGTCTGAGAATTGCAACAGAGGCCGCAGGTGCACTTGCATATCTTCATTCTTCAACAGGAATGCCGGTTATCCACAGAGATATTAAGTCCCCCAATATCCTGTTAGATGAGTATTACACTGCCAAAATAGCCGATTTTGGAGCTTCAAGATTGGTTCCTATTGATCAAACACGAGTGACTACTCTTGTACAGGGTACTTTGGGTTATCTTGATCCTGAGTATTTCCTTACAGGCCAATTAACAGATAAGAGCGATGTTTATAGCTTTGGAGTGGTCTTGGCTGAGCTTCTGACATGTAGAACACCTTTGTCAACTGAAAAGAGTGAAGAAGAGATTAACCTAGCTACTTACATTGTATTGTCGGTTAAGGAAAATCGATTGCTCCAAACTGTTGACCCAAGAATTTTGAGGGAAGGGAGTTTTGAGCAAATCAGTGCAGTGGCTGAGACTGTTAAAAGGTGTCTCGAGTTAAAAAGCGAAGAAAGGCCGACTATGAAAGAAGTGACAATTGAATTGGAGATGTTGAGAAAATATAATACACACTCAAACAGACAAGAAGTGATAAGTACATCTGATGGAGACATGGGATCGACAAGTGAGCAGCCACTTGATCTATATCCAGTTCCAGTAAATCCTGGATTCAACAAGGACGATTACTCTGAACAGTACATTTTAGATAGCCAGTTGTTTCATGCTATCAGTATACCTCGTTAAGTGGAAAAGAATAAGGAGGTTCTTCGGATTCCATGGTTTTTCCCATTTCTTAATTCTTTTTTTTTTCCGACTGTTCTTCTCGTATTCTTAATATCTATGTTAGAAGAGTTGAGTAACTCGCCATTAAGAAGCTTGCATATCCAAAATGGAGTCTAGAAACAACAGTTTTCTTCCGTAAAAGAAGAACAAATGATATACATGACACAATCTCTTATTTTGTTGAACATTTGAACTTCTTGGTTGTATCAATTCTAGTGATTATTTTAGTTTCTTGATCTAGTTGTAATATTTTGAAGTTTCACAAATATTAATTGTTTCAACCGGTGTATAGTATATTCAATATTTCTGGAGTTGCTGGTCTACATCATCAGATGATGTCTAATTTTCACAATCAACCATTACGAATATTATTGTGTGTTTCGATTTTTGTATTTATCTTTGAATGTATTTGAAGCAACAATAGATTTTAACGTGTCTATATAATTCTTGTATTAGAATATGTTTGCCAAAATATGGTATTTGAGTTCACTTGGAAAGTTTGAGAATTCAAGAAAGTATAAGAAATGGTTGAGCTCGGGAACGATTCAATAAACATTTAATACTCATGCGCTAGACGATATTCTTAACACCCCTATGTGCGTGCGTGTATGTTTGTATTCCCTTAGTTTTTATTTGATACTTAAAATTCGTAAGCTCTATATGGACTGAAAATTCATTGGGTTTTTGTTGTGTTTTCGTTTATGGGTTCTTTTATATGATCCATGGTCTCTCTCTCTCTCTCTCTCTCTCTCTCTCTCTCTCTCTCTCTCTCTCTCTCTCTCTCTCTATATATATATCTATATATATATATATATATATATATAATATATATATATATATGTGTGTGTGTGTGTGTGTGTTTATTTGAGTTGTGCTCTGTTTTTTTTAATTATTTTATTTTGTTAAAAGTGTGTGTGTATGTGAGTGTGTAAAAAGTGTGTATGTGCATGTAAGTGTGTGTGCGTGTGTGTAAAAAAGTGTGTGTGTGTGTAAAAAGTGTGTATGTGTATGTATGTGTGTGTGAGTGTGTGTGAAAAGTGTGTGTGTGTGTGACAGTGAAAAGTGTGTGTAAATGTGAAGGTTGAGATATTAAACCACATAGGTTGAGATATTAATCCCTAATAGTTGAGATATTCAACCTTATAAGTTGAATTAAAGATGCAATGAATCCATGTGGATCCAATCCGGATCGGTCTAAATTCGATCCACATTAAATCCATTTATATAGCTTGATTTTGGATCCGGTTCCTTTTGTATCCGATCCACATGGATCTGAATCGGATCCGATCCAAGTTGAGAAATTGCCACCCCTAGTAATAACATAGCAATTAATTAAGATTGTAAGATTAGGGGATTTAGCAATTGATTGCAAATTGTTAGCTCTGCATTTGAACTTTTAATGGATCTTTACGTTGTATTTAATATTATATTTAAGATTCATACTGCATCGAGTCATATGAAATCCAAATAGAATAATCAAAATGCAACATGAAAGTGACTGAAGGAAACTAGTCTTCCTCCAAAACTTAGGTACTCAAAACAGAAGCAACAACTCAATAGCAGAATCTCCTGTTGAGTGGATAATTTACACTCAATATGTTTACGTTACATGGATCTTCTATTTAGATTTAATTGTATTTTTGTTTTCATTGATAGATTTTGTATTTTAAAGTGAAAATCGAAAAATAGGTGTCCATGAAGGAAAAATGATCAAAAAAAAAGGAAAAATTTGCAGATAAGAAAATAAATCAAATTGGAAAAAGAAATGTCGCAACAGCTTTGGCAGTGTCCACAATTTCAATCAAATCTCTCTCATACAAAATCCAAATCACCTGCTTCCGGCGGCATTGGAAATATATTTGCAAAGGCTATCATTCGTACTCCGTGCAACTTTCCCACATTCGGACTCTAATATGCTCAAAATCAGAGAACAGATCCTGGTGGGGCAATGTGGCAGGAATTGAATCCTATTAGGTTTCGACTACTTCCTTATCAAGAAAAGTCTAGCATTTACACCATAAGAACGAGTTTTTACACCACAAAACGAGAAGAATGAAGATCGAAGACTCAAGCATAGTTTTTTCTTATTTATTTTATGAGTTTTATTTTGTTTATCATAAGAATTACAAGTAGCTAAGTTTTCTTATTCTAGTATTTTATTCGAACCATATGTGGGATTTGTGAACCCAATTCTATGATTTTATGCAAGTATTAATTTTGGATTATTTCTTCTAATTGATTTATTAAGTGCATGAACTTGATCAATTTATGTGCTTTATTGTTCTTTTTTAATGCATAATTCGGAAGATCGGTTTAACAATTAGAATTGTGGTAGAAGAACATATGTTGTGTTATCATAGCAATATAGTCAACCTCTTAGGTAGCCATTATTGAGATTTGTGTTTATTGCTTTGTTCTTGATTCAATTGCGAAGGAATACATTAGTTTTGTCATGAATAATAGAATTGTAATACACGCGCAAGCGGGTTATAATTAAATTAGCATCTCAGACTAGTCATCCGAATTATTGCTTGCATAATTGAAGGGAATTGGGGGATCAATAAATACATGGAGGGAGATAAAATCCTATGGCTTTTTAATTAGATTAATCTTCGTGTTATTTGCTTATTTGCTCTTCCTTGCTCTAATCTGATTTTTATTAATTTAGTTTAGTTTAGTAATCTTCTCCAAATTAGACTGTGTAGGGTGGACTTGAACATAGTTGTGAGAATCTAACACTAAGAATTAGACGGTTAAATATTCCTCGTGGGATCGATACTCAGACTTTTAGTCCTCTATACTACCTGTACGATACGTGCATTTGCATGTAGGTATTTTCAACCAACATGGTTTTGGCGTCATTGGCGGTGAATATAATAAACCGTTTATCTATTATGACTCTATATTTGAACAATTTTCTCGATTCACCCGAATTAATTTTTAGTTATATTTTTCTAAGTTTTATTGTATTTATTTTTTTTTTGGTTACATGTCAGGTTACAATTTTCACGCACCTATGATATGCCTCTTATTTGTTCGGCATGTGGTGGAAGTCATTACACTAACCTGTGCTGGGAAACACCGAAAGCGAATAATTTCATCGAAAATACCAACAGTGGTTATTGGAATACATACACCAACACGTATGAGCAGAGCGTTCCGAGCCAAGCTTTCAATGATTTTCGACATAGAGAGCCACAATTGGATGATTTTCAAACCTATTATGCAAGGCCACAAGAACCCACTATTGAGGAGCTTTATTTGAAATCCATCCTTGAAGAATTCATGAAATCCACTCAAGCACAATCCGAAAGCTGGAGATAGAATTGGAAGACATCAAGTTCCAAAGGTCTCATGAAAATATTTCAGACGACATCGAAAATGGTTGTAGCAAAGAAAATCCGTGTGAAGCTTGTAGTGATAAAGAATAGTTTAGAGCTAGAAAATAGTGTCAATGAGAGGGAAAAAGAACTTACGAAGACGCTTACACAAAATGAATTTGAAAATGCAATCGAGTTAAAACCCTATAGCAGGACATAACCACCTAATCCACCGACCTCTTTTGTATCTGGGAGTCGAGACTTGCAGCAGCCCAAGAGTATGGAGGACCTGAACCTGCAATCGAGAAGAAAGTTTCGTCGGCTGAAACCCTAACGTGATAGTATGCAGGTGGTATATGATTCGGTGAATAATAGCTGTAGGCTGCATGTGACGAACTCTAAACACCATCCCGCAACGAGCCTTTCACAGCTCATGAAACACGTACGGATCCAGCATATTGAGAATTGTTTGACAGTCGAGGAGACCATAACTGGATGGCTTGATTGATGGAAGAATAGAGAAAAGGCACCCGAAACAAAGCCGTAAAATATTTCCAAACTGAATGCGCACAGTCGGATGTGAGGAAGAGATGCTCAATAGTCTCTTCAGAGATCGAATGCGGTTATCCACGGGAATTGCTTTATTTTGAAGCTTCCAGAAAAATGCAGCCTCGTTATGTGGGATAATACTTCTCCATATACGGGAGGCCCAAGTGGCCGACGGCCGTGTTTCTCGGAGGTGCTCCCAGTATTCTTTCGACGAGAAAATTCCGGAATCCGTCAGCGTAAATGCTAAACGAACCGCAAGGTCAGTCTGCACCGCCACGTTACGAATCTGCTGGTGAAGAACTGAAGGAATAAAAGGCAGAAAACAAGAAAGCTGGGGCAGAGCTTCATAAACACGAAGCTTGGGATCTCTACGAACCGAACCTTTCAATATCTCCCCAATCCAATTATCCGCCCAGAAACTAACATCTTCAACACGTATTGTTTGTACCGAAAATATTTTGCGCGCGCGTATGTAGCCCATAAAGGATTATTGTTCATGACCACCCACATTAATTTACCATGTAAACAGCTCATCACCTGCTCCAACCCTCGGAACCCTAATCCTCCTTCCGCCATAGACGTACATGCCTTGACCAACCAACCCAATGAAACCGCGATTCTCCTTTCGAGCTCCAAAGGAAAGAGTACATGAGTTGCTCCACGCGAACAATAACTGCCCTCGGTACCTTAGCGCAATCCAGAGTGTAAATTGGAATTCTAGACAGAACCAATTTCATCAACGTCATACGACCTCCAAACGAAAGAAACTTAGTTTTCCACCCCTCAAGTTTAGCACGGATCTTCGTAACCAGGTGTTCATAATATTCCGAATTGGTCCGACCAACAAAACTCGGAACCCCCAAACAGAAAAGAGGGAAACCTCTAGCACGAATCCCCGTGATAGCTTCTATATGAGCCGTGGTAGTCGTAGCACCTTTGCCAACATAGAGACCACTCTTGCTTTTATTAATGAGCTGACCGACAATGATGCATACGAGAGGAAAAAATCGAAAAGCTTTTGAACAGAGTTAATCGACCCATTTGTGAAAATTAAAATATCGCGAGCATACAACAGATGAGAAATACTCAACT